TCGTGAGTGCCAGCCTGCTGGCCTGCTCTACGGATTTCTGACTTGCCTAGCCAGTCCCACAACTGTGTAAGCCAAGTTCTAGCAATACATTCCTCTCTCTTCTTTCCTCTGGGAGAACTCTGGCTAATACAGTTTGTTGCACTTGACAAATAAAAATGGCAAGTAATAGGATATATTGGAGTATATGAGGAAGCCATTTTGTGTAAACGCAATTCGGCCTGACCTTGTCTTTCCAAAAGGGCCTGGCCGAGGCCGTTGAGCATGCATTGTACATCCGCTTTAGAGATTCCCTATGGCAAGAGCAAAGGCCCTTGAAATAGAAGTTCAACTTCTCTCCCCCTCCCAATGTTGGCGTCTCCTTAAAGATTAAGCATCTTTCTTTAGGCTGGGAACTGATTGCAGTGCTCATCTGTGACCGCCCAGCCCGAGGCAACACACCTGCCACCCCATGGCGTTCACTGAGACAGTAGACCTATCTGCTGTTTCCATCAGTCTCTGTGCTGACAGAGCAGCCTCTTGACTATTGTAAAAGGGACATTTCAGTCATATTTGAAACATACTCTTTGAGGGTATATAACCACCCTGTATACCCCCACTTCTTTGGAGTGCTCTGTTCCTTTGTGGAAAGACTCTCCCAGGTTATAATCCTCAGATTTAAGCTCAGAATAAACTCACCCAAATTTTTGTTTATAGATTGGTTATGGATTATTTTCATTGACACACTTAATGATATAGGCTGGTCTGCAAGGTGTTAAAGTCCTTGTTGTTTCTTGAGTTTAAGTCGACTCTGGATTTCCTCCAGGAAACATTTAAGGACTTTTCAAAATTCCCAAAGTTTTTAATATGATCGTGTTTGAAGAAGCTCCAACTTTTCTCCTGAATGACATATTTTACAAGAATTGGAGGGTTCTCTTTCATCATCCTCAAAACCCCAAAATAATTGTCATGTCAACAGAGATGGATTTACTATGAGACAAATGAGGCTTAAAGCTTCAGGGACAGCCTTTCATATGGACCCTTCAAGGCTCTGGGAGAGTCTTAGCAATGTGTTCACATGGACATCTGTTTTTCATAAAGTTTGTAATAGTAAGATACCGTAGAAAGTGAATTTGGGAAGAGATTTTGCAACATTTGCATACTTTTGAGAAATTATAGACTTGATTTTGACCTACATGAAGGATTTCTTCTTTAGTCATCTTTAAAATTTTTATTAAAAAAAGGAGAAAATATGAGAAAAAATAAATAGAATGTGTCGACGAAAATAATCCATAACCAATCTCTAAATGAAAATTTGGGTGAGTTTATTCTGAGCTGAAATCTGAGGACCATGGCCCAGGGCCTTTCTTCCTGAAGGAAGAAAGGGCACCAAAGAAGTGAGGTATACAGAGTGGTTATATACCCCCAAACAGGGTGTTTCACATATGATTGAAATGTCCCTGCCACAATAATCACAAGATTGCCCTGTCAGCACAGCGCTTGATGGACACAGCAGGTAGTGGGTCTGCTCTCTCTGAGGGCGTAGCAGGAGGCAAGTCTATTGTCTTGAGCTGGGTGGTCACAGGTGAGCGCAGCAATCAGTTTCTAGCCTAAGGAAAGATGCTTAATCCTTAAAGAAATGCCAACGTTGGGAGGGGGAGGGAAGTTGCACCTTTATCTCAAGGGCCTTTGTTCTTGCCATGGGGAATATCTAAAGCAGATATACAATGCATGCTCAATGGCCTCGGTCAGGCCCTTTTGGAAAGACAAGGTCAGGCCGAATTAGGTTTACACAAAATGGCTTCCTCATATTCTCCAATATATCCTATTACTTGCTATTTTTATTTGTCAAGTGTGAAACAAAACTGATTAAGAGGAGTGACAAAAGTCATAGAAATTTTTCTGATATCAAGAAGTGAATGAGGCCGGCCCAGTGGCCGAGGGGTTAAGTTCGTGCGCTCTACTCCGGTGGCCCAGAGTTCCGCCAGTTTGTAATCCTGGACATGGACATGTCACTGCTCATCAGGCCATGTTGAAGTGGCGTCCCACATGCCACAACTAGAAGGACTCACAACTGAAAATACGCAACTATGTACCGGGGAGCTTTGGGGAGAGAAAAAGGAAAAATAAAATCTTAAAAAAAAAAAAAGAAGTGAATTGTAATGAATTTTTCAGATCATGCTTAAGATGGTAATCCATTGAGAGGAAGAACTAAATTCGAACAGAAATAATGAATATGGTCTTAGATTGTTTGATAATACAACTGATGAAGATAATTGAATCATGTAAACATGTTAGGAAAAGATTTACATTTCTTGCTTATTTGATAAAATACTGATATTGATGAAGACAATATAAAATTCATAATATGTCACTGCATCAAGGATATTGATGACAAACTATTTAACGAAATGTCAATTAGTAGTTAAGATTAGCCATTGCTGGAGAAAACCTGAAATGCCCTGAAATTTTACATCTCATGTATGAAAGAAACTTGTTAGAGGTATTTTCAAATTTGGCAATAATTCTAAACATGTTACATGGCTTCCATAATGAGTTGTGAAGCTAAAAAAAGCCTTTCTAAACTATCAATAATGGAAACACATTTTGATCAGTCCTGTGGAGGAAGGACTGAATTATCTTTTTATTCTTTCTATAAAAAGTGATTTTATAAAGTCTCATGATATGAAGAGGCAAAAGATATGCAGCCAAAAAATGTAATAAAAAATGTATTACAGAAGTGTGTCAGATAGTTAATTAGTAAAAATATCAAGTTATTTTTCTAATTTTGGTGATTATGGTGTCTGACAGGTTTAAAAAATTTATAATTTGTTGAGATTTGTTTTTCAGTTTGTTGGGATGGGGGAAAATCCCCTTTCTACCCTTCTTGTGGTCTTATGGCTGGACTGATGCGGGGTCAGTGAGCCGAGGAGTCGAAAGAAAGATTTCTTGGACTCTCAAGGTCTGGCAGTAGTGCTCTTTTATTTAGAGAATAGTATGGAATAACGTGGGGACAGGACCCATGGGCAGTCAGAGCTGCTGTGTGGGGACAGGACCCATGGGCAGGAGGAGCTGCTGCTACAAATATGGGTGGAGAGTAAGGCTAAATTTAAGGCATAGGTATGTGAGTTATCTCTTTACAAGACAAAGGAAAGAATATGTAGAAAGAGTTGTGAAAATGGTATCAGTGCCGGTAGGGTCTGGTTATTGAGTGGTCCTATAACTTTTAGATAAGAATCAAACCAGATTAAGTAAATGGCAGAAGCCACCGCTTAAATATTACCTTCAGCTAAAGACAAAGGAGGATGTTGGTGGGGGAGGGGGGGTCAGTTACATGAGGTTGCCAGACAGTAAACAACTTAAGAGTTTCTAGAGATAGGGCCATCCCGCCTTCCTCCTGGTGCAGAGAGGGAGACACCCCCCACAGATGGAGACTTCCTTCACAAATACAAATGTCTCTATCAAAGAGCAAGCAAATTCCAGTCCTCAGAGCCCCCTTCTCATCTGCAGTTTTAAAAGTAACCAGCCTAAAATAATCCTCATCAGGACTAATAATAAAACTGACAAGAGACCAGTTTAACAGGAGAAAAACTCAGTTTAATACGTATGTATTGGAAATCATAAAGAAATGATGCTTGGAGAATGAACAAAGCAGGAAGTATATATATTTTTTACACAAAGAAACTATAAATTCATGAGGAATGATGGGACAAAGAAACTTAGATTTGAGGTATGTAATTAGTGAGGAATTTAAGCAAAGTTTAGACTTTAGGTTGTAAATTAGCAAAGTTTGTTTATGCAGGCTTCTCGGCCCTGAATTCCCCAGCTCTGGTGATGAGGATGCAGGGAGAGCCCTTTTCACATGGGAGATTTATTTCCTGCTTTCAGAGGAAACAGAGGGTCAGAAAGCCTTTTTTGCTACTCAAGTAACTTTAATTCAAAATAGTCAATGTGCTATTATGGGATATTTTGGGGTGGCCTGGCCTGGGCCCCAACAGGTTTTAAGTAGATATTTACCTGGTTTTAAAATTCTTTTTCTTTACCTTTTTTATTATTTATTTATTTATTTTTTGAGGAAGATTAGCCCTGAGCTAACACCTGCTGCCAATCCTCCTTTTTTTGCTGAGGAAGACTGGCCTTGAGCTAACATCCATGCCCATCTTCCTCTACTTTATATATAGGACTTCTACCACAGCATGGCTTGCCAAGCTGTGCCATGTCCGCACCCGGGATCCGAACTGGCGAACCCCGGGCCGCCAAAGCAGAATGTGTGAACTTAACCACTGTGCCACCGGGCCGGCCCCATAAATTCTTTTTCTTATAGAGGACCCCAAACTGTAGGATCATCATGTTTTCAAAACTTGGTTTTCAACTTTCACCAATACTTTTTCTCTTATCTGATGCCTTTTTCCTTCCAAGAACAAGAAATTAGATTTCTAGGGTTCCAGAGTATGATGACATATAGAAAGCCACAAGGTTGGACGTGACACTATGCTTACTTAAAATTTGTATCTCAGTAAAATGACGAAGTGTTACATAATGTGAATCTTTGGAGCTGCTTGAGAGTAATCGATACCACAAATTATTGGATTAGCAAATTCCAAGAATTCCAAGGATGCTCCCAAATACCCTTATTTTGTGCTTGGATGCTGGCTTTCAAATGTCCTATTCCACTGCCTCAAAGAAGAAAGGACTTTCTGTCCTTTGAAACTGGAAAATACAGGTCAAGTAGATTTGACGCGGCCCAGCCATTTTTCAGTTGGCCAATAATTCTCGGCTCCCTTGTTGTATCCAGAGATGACTTACTCAGAACAGGAAACTATTTTTTTTTTTTTTTTAAAGATTTTATTTTTTCCTTTTTCTCCCCAAAGCCCCCCGGTACATAGTTGTATATTCTTCGATGTGGGTCCTTCTAGTTGTGGCATGTGGGACGCTGCCTCAGCGTGGTTTGATGAGCAGTGTCATGTCCGCGCCCAGGATTCGAACCAACGAAACACTGGGCCGCCTGCAGCGGAGCGCGCGAACTTAACCGCTCGGCCACGGGGCCAGCCCCAGGAAACTATTTTTAATGATGTAATCTCAACTTCAGCAAGCAGGAGTGGTCTGGCTATTGATGTGTATCTACTTAGAGAGATTTTTGCCTCCTCGGTGGAGCAGGTAAGGTCAAAGATGGGAATCTCCCCTCTGAAGAAATGCTCAAGTTGCTCCTGTGGAATAGCTAATATCTTTTTCTTTAAATCTGGAGGTGGGGAGTGGGCATGGGGGAGAAACTCCCCTGCATATTGCTCACTCTCAGTGACGGATGTTAACAGGGGATGCCTGGGCTCTGCAACGACCTTGACAGGAATAGAGCTGGCCTCACCTCTTTTAATTGCCATAGGTGACTGTACACCAGCTTTGCGGTTTTGCTTCATGCTCCCTTTGTGGGTTGTGGATCAGAGAACACAGGCATGCCACCTTGATGAAGAACAGCGATGCAAGGCACCAAGGACCCTGTAGAAATTCCTCCACTGGCAAGTGAGAGTCTGTCAAGATGATACCAGTCGACATTATCTTCTGTCTCTACTCCATATCTACCCTGCATTTGAGTTAGTGTGTACTACTTGCTGCTCAACAAAGCAGAGTGGCGCTCAGATCTTTTTATGATTTGTGATTTTGCTCATGGGCATTCCTTGACCTGGAATGCCCCTTCTTTCCATTTGCACGTCAGAAATTTTATTCATAATTTGATCATCTCAACCAAATAGTTTCTGTTCCTTCTGTAGGATTGCCTCCTCTTTTGAGTCCCTACATTAGCACTTAATTTATGTTTCAATTAAGGCCTTCGCCTTGCCTTGCCCCACCTGTCGTCGCTGCAGCACAGACATTGCCCACGTTAGGTATCTGCACACGTCACTGAAATTGGCAGACTGCTTTCTCCTGCATTAGGTTTGAACTGTCCACCTGCATGGCCTGGAAATTTCCCATGATGACAAGAGGCTAGAGTTCAGGGGCCGCTGATCATCAGCGATCCCGTCCACTTTAACTTTAAAGTGAAAATTACTTTTCTGACCTCAGGGAAAAGCCATATTTCATCTCTAAGGTGTTATGACCTTACCTTGTCCCCATACAAATTGCTTTTAGGACCAGCATGTTTTTTTAGACAAAACGCACCTTAAAACATCCAAAATTTTCTAGATTTCTAAAGAGAAAACATTCTCATATTTTCAAATCTTCTTGAAACGTCTATGATATCAGCCTTGCATTTCCATCTAGCAATTATTATTATATTAGAATGGTAGCATGTAAAAGTCATGCTTATAAACCTAGGTCTTAGGCCCTTCTCCAAATTTATGTATTTCAAATTCTTTTATTACACACTAGATGTCACTCTCTACCCAGTGAATTTCAGAGCTAAACATTGTGGTGACTTAATTAGGAAAGAAAGCTATTTGGAAAAGAGTTTGTAAGTGGCTGCAAAACATATTTTCAATTACTTTCAAACAGGACATTTTCTCCCACAGTTTGCAAGAAGCATTCATTATTTCTTTGGTAAAAAGAAACCCTTCAAAACTCATTAAAGGAAAGAGGAGTAAAGTCAATGACAGTCTTTTCTCTCTCCAGCCCTGTGTCATGGGGGTTTAGACAGGTGTGTAGCTGGATTGAAATACGAGCTTGCCTCTGAAATTATTTCCTCAGCAAAGGACGGAGCTGTAGAGGGATGTTGGCATTTGAACCTGTTCCTCGAGATGCGGGGAATTCCCATACCAAGCCCTCTCCACACCACCTCAGAAAGGATCCTCTGCGTGTGAAGAAAGCATCATTGACTTAATTTCATTTTCCTGATTTAACTGGCATTTTCCATCATGAAATGTATGTGTGAACTTTTTAATTGGATGGCCGATGTGAAGGAACCTAAACAATTAACAATGCGTGAAGGAAGTTCTTTATTTTCAGGTTGTTTAGGCTGAAACAGGAAGCAGTGTTTCATGGATGATTGCTGTGTCCCCTTTTATTCCAGAAGGTTAACTAAAGAGCAGTTGCCTCAGACCCGGAGAACAAGGCAAGTCAGTATGGTATTATGTTGTTTAAATTCTGTCATGATTTTTACACCACAGATGTCCCTTAAATTGCAAAACTTCTTTACAATTTCAAAACTTTAAAGGGAAATAGGGAGCATCTCGGTGGATTGCTGGCGATACCGCTCTATATAGCTGTAGTGAACTCTGGGCATATGAATTGGCCAGGGGTTCCAGAACTGCTTTTCATTTTAAGTAATTTAAACTCTTTAGATATTAATTAATGCAATTCTCATCCTCAGCATTCCTAAAATAACAATAGCCCCAAAATGATAAAAATAAAGGTGATGGTTTAAAGTATAGGCCTGAAATTTCACACGTGAACTGACTTGCTCTCTACTTTCTAGAAATCTGGGGGCCAGCTGTGCCCGTAACCAGCACTCATCTAGCAAAAATTTGCTGCATGTCTGCATGACATGCTGCCACTTTGCCAGGACCTTTAGGTCCTGCTTTGCACTGTACATGTGTGTGCACACACACATGCACACAAAAAATTGTGAGATTTTACAAAAAATTGTGCCTATTAAATTTTAGATGTTTATGTGCTTGAATTTAACAGAATACTCATATAGCTCTCAGTCTTTGGTGAGACTGGGCCCCATTGTGGCTATCCCCAAACCATTATTCCTCAACTATAATTTGACCTCATTTGGCTGATATTAGAATGTGACGTGCTCAATTCTCATGTGTACGTATCTCTGTGTGATGTCGTTTTGAGACAATTCTTGGGGTTCTCGTTCAGGTCTCAATGGTGTGCTTGTTCTTGGTCTCTTGTTCCGGTCTTAATTCATTGTTCATGCCTCAAGGAAGTAGGTGTAATTCAAACTCAGTTCAGGAGACTGGATTTGAATTACACCTAAAGCTTCTCTTTCTCCAATTATACTTTACACATATGGAGAATCCTCAAAGTAGGAGGAGAAATACATGAGAAAATAAGTTGAATTCATTCATTCCACAAGTATTTAGAGAGTAATTACCATCTTTTAATAGAGAACCTTTTCTCATTATAGAAGAAGTATATGTACATTGTAGGAATTTGGAAAATACAGATAGGCACACAGGAGGATATACACCTCATCCATAATGCTACCATCCAGAGATTTCAACATTCATATTTTGGTGATTTATTAGTATTTGGGTTGATACAGTCCCAGTTTTGACCTCTATCTATCTATCTATCTAATCTATCTATCTCTCTGTCATATATCCCTTGCTGGGGTCCAGGGCAGGCTGACTCGAAATATCCCACAACAGTATATTGATTATTTTAAATTAAAGTTGCTTAAGAAGCAAAAAGGGCTTTCTGACCCTCCTGGCTCTGGTCCCTGGAAAGCAGGAAATAAGTCTCCCATGTGAAAGATGCTCTCCCTGCGTCCTTATCACCAGATCGAGGGGATTCTGGGCCAAGAAGTCCGTATAAACAAACTTTGCTAATTTACGACAGCAAGTCTAAACTCTGCTTACATTCCTCACTAATTACGTACCTCAAACCTAGTTTCTTTGTCCTATGGTTCCACACAAATTTATTGTTTCTTTGTGTGAAATATATATACTGTCTGCTTTGTTCATTCTCCAAGCACCGTGTCTCTCTGATTTCCAATATGTACATATTAAACTCGGTTTTTCTCCTGTTAATCTGGTCTTGTGTTAATTTTATTATTAGTCCAGCCACAAGACAAGAAGGATAGAAAGAGGATTTCCTCTTTCTCAACACTTTCTATCTATCTATCTATCTATCTATCATCTATCTATCGTGATCATGTTGTGCATACTATTTTGTAAACTACTTCTCCCCCATTTTTTCCTTGGAATTAAATATTTACCTACAATATAATTTTTGATAGCATAAAAGTGTTTTATTATTTGGACAGTTTTTAAAACCAAGCCCCAGTGTTTGGACAGTCTCAGAGCTATCACGTCATGTACATTCATGATTAATCCTTTAGGATAAAAACTGTCAGTGGAATTTTTAAGGTCAAGGGCTTGTATAGTTTTAAGGCTCCTCCATGTTGCAGATTACCTTCTTATCTTTTTTTTTAAAGATTTTATTTTTCCTTTGTCTCCTCAAAGCCCTCCAGTACATAGTTGTGTATTTTTAGTTGTGGGTCCTTCTAGTTGTGGCATGTGGGATGCTGCCTCAGCATGGCCTGATGAGCAGTGCCAAGTCTGTGCCCAGGATCCGAACCGGCGAAACCCTGGGCCGCCGAAGCCAAGCGCGCGAACTTAACCACTGGGCCACAGGGCTGGCCCCCTTTCTTATCTTTTAAAAGTCAATTTATGTTTATTTCTGTCAGCAGTACACAAACATTCCTGGATCTTTGCACTGTTGCCTTAGAAATGTTTTTATAGTGACTTCCAATGCTTTTCCCTAGTCTTCTTAGTAAAAACCAAACAGGTTTGTTTAATATCAGCCTTAAGATGAATGCCTTTAGTAAAGGAAATTTTATAGTAGATTAAAGCAAGAACAAATAAACAAAAGTCACAGTATTGCATCTTTGACTCTGTGCGTTTATTACAATAGGAACAGTTTAGTTTTAATTACTGGTGATAAATACTACATGGTCTACTAATAAATGTCTTGCAGCATATCTTGAAAATGCAATAAACTCTTCGCCAGGTGAGAATTCAGTATAGTTCTTGGCCTCTAAATCTCTGCTGACTAGAAGGATAAAACTGCCATTTTTCCTAGTGAGAATTATTGGAAAGACTGATAAGGAAGTGAGACTTTGCAAGATTCTGAAACAATTATTGCCATTAGGACAAAATTGGAAAAATCCGCCTGCGCATTCATGTAGCACTAATATTAGGTCAGTAAGTGCTTTTCAAATTTTTTTATCTTAAACATTAAACATAGTGCTTAAGGGATAAATGAAAAAGTTCAGAATAAGTTACTTTAGGAAAAAAACAATTTTAGTACGTGGTTACATTTGAAAATGTATTGCTAAATAGATAGACTAGGGATGAATTTGTGTATGGGGGGGCTTTGACATACTATTCTTAGCAAAGTTGGCAAAATTGGGGCAAAAATATTCAAGTCAGAAAATATTCAGGTTCTAGGTTATAATCTTTATTTGTGCTGACTTTGGGGGTACTACTGTGAATCAGGAAGAAATTCTTTTTTTATTCATTTTGTAGAACTTTCTTCCACTTCCTCCTAGCTCATTTTTAAAATGAGTGTTTGAATTTAGAATTCAAAATGGAGAGAGTCTTTTTTTTTTCTGATTTACAAAAAGGATGCACACTCATTTTAAAAAACACATAGAAAAGCATAAAGAAAGTAAAAATCATTAAATGTACCACTACCCAAAGATTACTACTTTTAATATTTAATGAACATCTTTTCAGCCAGCTGACTCTCTTCTCTCAACAGATAAACAATTTTATACATATGTGATTGTGCTACATATATTGTTCAACAACCTGCTTTTCTTTTTATTTTTTTTGAACTTAACTTACTTTGTTTTGAGGAAGATTGGTCCTGGGCTAACATCTGTTACCAATCTTCCTCTTTTTTTTCTCCCTGCAAAGCCCCCCAGACACAGTTGTATGCCTTAGTTATAGGCTCTTCTAGTTCCTCTGTGTGGGATGCTGCCTTGGCATGGCTTGATGAGCGGTGCTAGCTCTGTGCCCAGGATCCAAACTGGTGAACCCTGGGCTGCTGAAGCAGAGTGTGTGAACTTAACCACTTGGCCACAGGGCTGGCCCCTGCTTTTCTTTTTAGAGAAATATATCTTGTGACCATATTTTGAGGTCAATACATATAGATCTGAGGCATCATTTTTTTGCTGAGGAAGATTCATCCTGGGCTAACATCTGTGCCAATCTTCCTCTATTTTGTATGTGGGTCCCCGCCACAGCATGGCCACCAACAAGTGGTGTAGGTGTGCGCCCAGGAACCAGGCCAGGATCTCCAATGTGGAGCACACCTAACTTAACCACTAGGTCACAGGGCCAGCCCCTACAGCATCATTTTTAATGGCTACTTAATACTCTGTGGTAGAGATATATAGTAAATGGTGTAAATTACTTTAACTTATCTTAACATTTGAATTTTAAAAAATTATAAGAAAGATATATGATTCTGAAATTTTTTTCCTAAACATTGTAGAAGTGAATAAAGTAAATGATGTGTCATATATTTCTTCTATTCTACAATTAATGTCACCTTCCAAAGGTAATCCTAAAATATGATCTCCTCCAGAAAAATTTATAACAATATATAAACTCTTAAACACACATTTGTTTCCCCTAAATGTTATCATTTTATATTCTGTAGTTTGCTTTTTAAAAAATTTCACAATTTACTGAGTACATTTTCAAGATGGATACATATAAAATTACCCAATCCTTTTTTAACAGCTGCCTATGGAGTACGGATTTACCATAAGTGATTAAACCTATATCCTATAGATGGATCTTTAGGTTATTTTAATTTTTAGATACTCCAAACAATGCTGCCATCTTGCTTATTCCTCTTTATAAATGTCCTATTATCTCTTTAGTAGATTCCTTGCAATGTTATTGCTGAATCAAAAGCCATTCTTTTCAAATATTTTGCTCTCTGTAGTTAACTGTCTTCCAGTTACATTCCATTTCAGGCCTGTACAAGCTGCTGATGTTTTTATTTTAATATTTCCTAACCTTCTGAGTGGAAACTTATATGTCATTGTTGTTGTTTGTTTTTTTGAGGAAGACTAGCTCTGAGCTAACGTACACCACCAATCCTCCTCCTTTTTCTGAGGCAGAGTGGCCCTGAGCTAACATCAGTGCCCGTCTTCCTCTATTTTGTACGTGGGACGCCTGCCACGGCATGGCTTGATAAGTGGTGCATAGGTCTGCACCTGGGATCCAAACCAGCAAACCCTGGGTTGCCAAAGTGGAGCACGCAAATTTAACCACTATGCCACTGGGTTGGCCCCTACTTGTTTTCATTTGCATTTCTTGTCTTAGTGAATTTTTCTTTTAGTGCTTTTTTTTTTTTTTTGCTGGGAAAGATTTACCCTGAGCTAATGTATGTTGCCAATCTTCCTCTTTTTTTCCTTCTCCCCAAAGCCCCAGTACATAGTTGTACATTCTAGTTGAAGGTGCTTCTAGTTCTTCTATGTGAGCCACTGCTATAACATGGCTACTGACAGATGAGTGGTATGGTTCTGCACCCAGGAACTGGACCTGGGCCACCGAAGTGGAGTGTGTCGAACTTTAACCATTTGGCCATCAAGGCTGACTCTGTTAGTGAATTTTAAGATGTTTTACAATGCTTACTTTTGGTCACGTGAAGTTCCTTTGTGATGTGCTTGCTTGTGTCCTAATCTCATTTTTTATTGGGATGTTTATCTTTCTCTTGTTTTGTAATTGGTTTTAAAACGTTGAGGAAATATGTTATTTTTCTGTCATATATATTGTAAGTATTTTTCAATCAGTTTGTCAACCGCCTTTATATTTTTGGGTGCTCTTAATAAAACATGCGAAAGTTTAAAAAATATCGTATAGCGGCTGGCCCCATGGCTGAGTGGTTAAGTTTGTGTGCTCCGCTGCAGGTGGCCCAGTGTTTCATTGGTTCAAATCCTGGGTGCAGATATGGCACTGCTCATCAAACCACGCTGAGGCAGCATCCCACATGCCACAACTAGAAGGACCCACAATGAAGAATATACAACTATGTACCAGGGGGCTTTGGGGAGAAAAAGGAAAAAAAATAAAATCTTTGGAAAAAAAAAATATAATTAGGAACTCAAACCAACTTTCACCATGTAAAAGTCTGACTTGATATGACACACTCTATGAACACTCGCTTCTGCTTACTGAGTAAGGAAAGACAGGAAGGAGAAAGAACCGTGGGTGGCCCTGTCTTTCCTTTTCCTTCTGTGTCATCATTTTGGCTAATACAGGGATGTAACATGCATAGGAAAGGCTATGATAAGGTTCCTTGGTTGTTCTTGTTGCCTTCTTTCAGGCCAAACAGGTTTGAAGGGAAAGTTGTGGCCTCTTTTGTGGGGGGTAGCTGTCGGGGCACCACTTATTCAATCATGATGTGACAGAGTCATGCTTGACTCCCATGCATCATGGGAACCCTGGCATTCTATGCATGGGGCATTGCAACGGTATAGGTGAATGGTGGAGTAGGGTAACCCCGTATGCACACATATATCTCCTCTGCACATGCTCATGCTCCATTGTCCCAATGGACTTTGCTTATAAAACACAAGTTCAAAGATAACATTCTTAGGAATCTTCAGATGGCTACAATGGAGCATGAAGTCAAGAGCAAGGCTCTTCTGAGTGGGAGGCCCTGTGTGACCGCACAGGTTTCTGTCCGTGAAGCTGGTCCTTCCAGACCCATACTAATTCCCTCTGGTGGCTGGGCCTGGGGATGGTTTAGGGATCCAGACTGCTGAGGAGAAGAAAGGGACTCTGACTCTGCCGGCTGGTGGTAAAAACGACCTGAGACCCTTATATTTAACCCATGACAGTCTCATACCTTCAAAGAACCTTGCCCCCTCGGCAACCAACTCTTCGCTCACACAGGCACACACACTTCTGACTGGCTGGGACGTCTAGCTCAATGCATTTTGGCT